AGCAGGGCCCTGTGCAAGGAACAGGGTGACATCAGTGAGCTCCCTCTTTAGGGACAGCCCCAGCCCCTTCCTCCCTGACCTGACTCCTGAGCCCAGACCTGCAGGAGAGACAAGCATTGGTTCCTGCCAGGGAAGCCCCTCTGAGGGCACAGCCATGCTGCCCAACCAAGGCTAAGCCTTTAGGGGCCTCCCTGCAGGCTTAACCTGGGGTCCAGCACCTCTGCCCCCTGATTTCATCCTGCTTTTTTGGCTGCTCTCCCACAATTCCCCTCCATCTCACCTGCAGACCAGCCAAGCTCAAGGGTCTACCTTTGCCTGTCTTTCTCATTCTACTTGTGTCCTACCTTGTGTCAGTTCTGCCCAAATTTCCATCTCCGATCTAATATTACCTCTTTGAAGCGGAGGAAGATCCCCCACCCCTGTCCACCTGGCTATTTACCTTCAGGGTTCTCCGGGGAAGGGTCTCTCCCAGCTCTGACCCCACGTAGTAGCACATATGAGGTGTTCTCTCTCATACAACCCGTATAGTGGACACAGGGTCTAGATGGATGATGGGCAATTGCTTACATGTGTCCCCCTGGTGGTCCCTCTCAGTATCCAAAAGTCTGGACCCCTCACCCTCGGCCTCATCCTCTCCTCCACAAGCAAGGCCAGGACCCCCTGCAGACCAACCTTGCTCTGGCCTTCCACCTTCTTTGAGCATGATGGGTCATGTGGATTTCACAGGTAGTTTTCTGGAGAGAGGGCATGCTGCTTTGCTCTTCCTCAAAATATCCTTCAAGCCACTATACTCTTTTCCCAATTCCAATTTCTCTGGGGCTGCTGTCCCATCTCTCCACCCCACAGGCCTCTTCCCGTGCTCCTTGGTCTCCTAAAAGTCCTGCACCCTCCACTTCCCACTCAACAGAACAACTCGTCTCCAAACAGTCACCAGCAGGACAGAAGCTGGTTGTGAGGCATGAGTCGAGTGCCTCGCCTCATTCAGAGGCATGATGGAACAAATTGCCTAGCGGGGCCAGGTTCCAAGGAATAGGGTCTTGGAGAAGGGAAAGAAGTAAGTCTGAAGCTGGAAAGAAGCTGGTAGAGGGAGATATGGGAGACAGGACCCAGGGAGGGAATGCACCTTCACCCTGGTTTCTGATGGGGTGAAACGGGAGTAGTGTGTTTGCCCTTTGATGAAAGAGCTCATTGGTTGTCTTTGGATGATTCTTGATGGGGGAGTGGGCTTCATGTTAATATCCCAGCCTCTCTACCATGTTGGGAATGTGAGAAAGCAGGAATCCCAGCTTCCCACTCCTTCCCAGCATTTCCCTAGCACTCAGGGAGGACAGGCCTGGATCCATGGAACAGGTACCCACCCGTGAGTATCTGTGGACAAAATAACACCCCCCACCCCCAGAGATGTCAGACCTGTGAATGTCTTAGCGTACATGGCAAGGGGGAATCACATTTGAGGGGGAATGATTTTCCTTTAAGGTCATGTTGAAAAGAAAATAATAATTCTCAGGCAAATGTCACAAGGACTAGCGAGAAAAGGGTACAAAAGATAAATATGAATCTTTGTACCTCTTCATGTACCCAAACCCTAAGGGTTAACGAGGGAGCAATGGAGCCCAAGTAAATGGAAGCTAATGAATTGAAAAAATCCTTCTGCTTCTAGCAAACTTCCTCCTCCCTAGCTCTGTCAGTTCTGTGTCATTGTTGAACGCGTTGTGCAGGAAATGACCTCCCACCACGAAAGGGGAAGGTGCGTGCGCACGCACACACACACCCCCATGCACGCACACACAGATCATCAGAATATATGAGGTCTACCAGCACAGCAAAAAACAAGCAGGCAAGTTACTTACTGAAACATCCAGCTAAGAATGTTTGACAATGGGATCCCAGAATTTTAGACTTTTCTGCGTCTGTGAATCTGGGCTCCTGGATAAGACACCCCAAATTTGCACCTGCCTTTATAAGTTCCCCCTGGCTGTTTCATGTCATTGGGCACATTCCTGGCCAAGTGCACCTGAGTTACCATTCAATATACTGAAACTTTTGTAGCCATGAGAATCTTGGGGCTCATTTAACCACACAGATTAAAGGTGAGGCTTGAGGATGGCTTGGTGCCAGAGTGCTGGGCCCTGGTCAAGAGCACATGACCAAGACAGGAACCCATTCAAGGACTCTGGGACCTGGTGGAGCCAGACTGAGGGCTGGGGGCTGAGAAGAGCAGAGCACACCCCGAGAGGGGACCTCGCCTCACACCCTGCTCCAGGAAGAGACAGAGACAGGGGCCGGCCCATGGGTATGCTCTTTTGCGGGTGCACCAAACCCCCACTCAGAAGGGCTTGATTTAATGCTCCACTGTTGCTATCTTGATATTATTGGTAATTCTGGGACAAAGGCATTTTCATTTTGCACTGGGCCCTGCAAACAGAGGGTTTTGTCCAGAGAATGCTTGGTCATGCCTTTTGTTCGCAGGACTGCTCATGCCAGACACACCAGTCACAGGACATTTGCTATTCATAGATGGGGGGCAGGGGAGGGGCGGGGGCTTGCTCAGAAAATCTAGATGGAAGTCAGTGTGATAGCCTGGTTGAATGGCACAAGCGTGTGTCGGCTGCGGGTGAAGTTATGGTAAGGGCATCATCCTCAGAGGGAACATAAACAAGAACTGTCCATTCAAATGTGTTTCTGAGGATGAACTTCAGCAAGCCATCAGCTGACCACACGATGCCCTGAGCCCCTCACTTCCCCCATTTTCTGAGCAGCTCTGAGAAAAGAACTAAGAGGCTGAAAAAGGAAACAGAAATGCCAAGAAAAGCAGAAGAGGGAGACGGGGTAAGCTGGCCCTGGGGGAGGAGGTTTCAGCCGCAGTTGGAGAGACACCAGAGGGAGATGGGGTGAGCCAACCCTGGGTGAGGAGGTTTCAGCTGCAGCTGGAGACACCTCAGTGGGACAAGACCATGTGGCTGCCATTAGCTCTGCTGCTCCTCTGTGTCCCAGGTGAGTGGGCCTGGGCAGGTCAGGGTGACAATGGTGTGGGGTAAGGCTGGTGATGGGGAAGGGAGGAGAGGAGGATACAAGCAAAGAGGGGAGGAGGTGAGCACAGAGAAACCTTGCCCAGGCAAAGAGGAGGAGTTATTAATGGTAAGATGGTTCCCACAGGAGAGCACGTACTGAGCGCTAAAGAAATTGGCCACTTGCATCATCATTGCGACCATTTTGAAAAACAGGAATACTGTCTTATGCACCAGCCCAGAGGAGGGGAGCAGAAAACCAATACTAACTGGACTAATCACTGCATTACCCAGCTTTCCCTATAATCTAATCCAATTCTTACCACAATCCTTGAAACAAGAGACCAAGACGCAGAGAGATGCAAATTATTTACTCTAGATCAGTTCATAAAAGGCAGCCAAGGTTCAAAGCAAAATATTTTTATTTCCAAGGTCATTGATGTTCTTATAATACTTCTTTCCAAGGTCATCACCTTTTTAAAAAAAATAATACATTGGTCACTTACTACATAAGCCTCCTTGTGAATAGGCATTTATGTATCCCATGCACTGACCCATGCCCCCCCGCTGGGGTCCCTGTGCCTCTGATAGGTCTGGCCTGGCCCTGAGGCCCCTGCACTATGAGACCCCTGAAGGTGATACTGCTGGGGACTTGTGGTCAGTCCTACTCTGAGAGTTCCCATCAACAATGGTGGGTTCTGAGAGTTCCCATAAACACAGTTTCTCTCTTTTTTATGTTTGAACACTGGAAGGAAAATATTTTATTACAAATGGGGGAAAAAAATCAACACAACTCACCGGTTTGCTCTGATCTTGAACCCAAATGTAGCAATTAGAATACAAAGTGATCCAATGTCAGAGCCAACCTTCAGAGCCCAAGCAGGAAAAACATCTTAATTACATTAATTCCATTTCCGCCCACCTCTAGCTATATTAATCAAGGTTTACCAAAACCCTTAAAAATATCACTCCCGGGAGGGATGGGGTGACTGGGTGATAGACACTGGGGAGGGTATGGTAAGCACTGTGAATTGTGCAAGACTGTTGAATCTCAGATCTGAACCTCTGAAACAAATAATGTAATATATGTTAAG